GGTCCACCCCGAAAAATAAAAACCTTTTACCCAAATTCAAGGAAAAAAAAAAAAAAAAAAAAAAAAACAATAAAACCCGACCACACGACCGAGGTCACGACCTTAGATTCAGATAATCTCTCAAATGTTTCGACGCCACCCTCTTCCAGGATCGTGTTTTTTATTTTTTAAGGCCTGAACGAATGCGATGTTCTGCCCGTGTTAACTGAACCGACTGTTGTCCGGGCCGGACGTGGAACTCTGGAGACAATAAGTCTATTTATACGACACTCCTTTAACGTCTTCATATTCGCAGCAACAAATGATCTTCATTCACTTCGCTCCGACGCCGCGGAAATGTGACGCGGTGCAGGAGGCTGTCGTTACACCGCGTGACGGGTGAGGAGGCACAAATCTGCCTTCGTTAACAGGCCGTGAATTTTTTTAGACAATCTGATTAAATACCACAGGTTTATTAACATCGAATTCTGGATTTGACTTTTTTCAAAAATATTTATTGTCTACGTTAACATCTATTTTCACGATTGACTCTTGCGCTCACGTGCCGTATGCAAATACCTGAAAACACACACACACACGTGTGTTTGTGTGTTTGTGTGAGAGTGTGTGTTGCTCTTCCTCCTCCCTGGGGTGTTTTCACCTCTGTGGTTGCCATGGTGCCACGTTCATGAGTGGATGATGCAACCTCCACTCATACGTTGGTGCCGAACCCCTATTACCCATCATCCTCCTCTCTGCTTCCTCCTTTTTTTCCTCCCTCTCTCTCTTTCAACCCGTCCAAATGCCAGCTCCAGTGTCTGTCGTCGTCTTCTCTGTCTGCGTCCATGATGTCATGTTAGGGATCGATGAGTGCCCCCTGGTGGGACGTCACGCTCCATCACGTGTGGATAGTTATGGTCTGGTTTGATGATGTCATCGAGTGTTTGTTTGTCAGGATGAAGTGTACTACTGTGTACTACTGCGTGTTGTTACACAAATACTAGGCAGTATTCTGCACGGTGCCAGTCTTCTGATTGATTGGTCCTCAAACGGTGGCTCGCTGACTGTAATGTTCTCAAGGAGGTCATGTCCAAACGTTCTCAGGTAGAGAATCATTTAGACAAACGTGGAGGAAACGAAATATCATCGTAAAACGCAAATGTACGACCTGTGTACCTACAGTATATACAGTATCTATATATACATAGATATATACTGTATATATGTGTATATATGTATATATATATATATACACAATATATATCTATATACATAGATATATACTGTACATATACTGTATAAATATATATGTCTGTATTAGGTATTTGTATATATA